GCACGAGTACGAGCTGTTGTTATCGTTGTTGTTATCGGAACACGGAGGTTTTTTTTCACCCATTTTTTTCCATGTTTTGTGTTGTTTTTTGTGGGTTGGTTGTTTGTAGGTGGAACGGTGTGTCAATGATGCATCAAACGTTGGGGAAAAAGCACCCGCACATAAAAGACATGGAAAAATAGAGAGAGAGGATGAGTTAGCAAGAGAGAGTCGCAGGTAAAAAAAGAGAGAAAGCAAAAAAATAAAGCTTTAGATAAAAATAGTTTCAGCAAATGGCACAATATGGGGAGTAAACCGAACACGCTGTGAGTATATGGAAGTACTCGTATTCGTATGTGCGAGTATAACTGTACACAGCACGCCCAGACAATAACGGCAGTTTGTAGTAATTGAAGTGAAGGCACTGTCCCGACTAGAGATGGGAGCGTGAGAGTAAAGTTGTATCGGGGGGAAGCACGATAACGAAATTTTGATTTAATGTATGGAATGTTTCTTGAATTGGAAATTTAATTATTGCATACTCTTGAGAGCTTCTGGCTAGGGAAAGATTGGATATATTTAATTTATAGTTATTGACATGCTGAACAGATCGCTTGAATCTGACCATTGAGTCAGACTGCCATCTCTATGAAAGTGGCATTGAACCACTTGCAGCAAAATTCAACTACAAATAATCAAAACTAAGAGCCATTGTTGAACGTCATTCATGAAGGAAATATATACTCAATGGATATTCCTTCAATTTCAATTTCAATTTCAATGTTTCTCTCCTTTTATATTTTGTAAATATTTACCCACATCCGCCACCCGAAATGTACATATGTACACAAAGCTATGTATTTATCCATTTCCTATAGCCTTTTGAGTGCAATAAACTTTGAGAGGCAGCGCCACATTACACTTGAGTAGTGGAAATAAATATTTGGTAGACATGGGGGATTTGGCTTCCTTTTTTTGCTATTTCATTGCCTAACCCACGGGCAGAACCCGAATCGAAATGGAAATGTAAGTGAAAATGCAAAGAGCAAACACACAAAAAATGTGTCAGGGGAACACTGCGACCGAGAGCAGACCAGAGCGAAACAAGACAAAACATGGCAGGAAGCTTACACACGAGCAGGGGCAGGAGCAGCAAGGAGCAGCTTAATTAAAGAAGTTTTCTTACCTGTGAGCAAAGCACAGGTGGGGGTGGAGAGAAGCTCTCTGCTGGTTGTCCTTTATAATGGATTACATTAGGATGCAGAAGGCAACCGGGCTGCCAGTGCAGTCTGTGTATGTGTGGCTGGGTGTGTGCTCGAGCACTAAGTATAGAGATAAGCACCTAGACACATACCTACTCGTACCCGTACCCGTACCCGTACCCGTACTCGTATGTTGTTCTCTCTGGCTGTCTGACTGAAGAGCCCCTGAGATACAGCCTGATTACCGCCTTCGGCTCGACATTTTCACCCTGGAGACCATTTGATTTGTTGCCTTGGCAGGAACAATTGGGGAAATGACTATATAATGGCATTCGACTTCTGCTTGTACATGTACTTCGATCACTCTCTGTGCCATTTGGGCAAGAAAGGGAATAATCAGAATTTAAGAGTGGAAAGCCATCAGCCAGTACCATGGGGAATCGAATGGAGGATGTGACTGTGCCGAAAGTGATTTTTAATCTGAATGTCTGTATAATGCATCAACGCGCATCCTAGCTGCACACGGTACATGAAAACTAATTTAAAAAACTTCTTTCATTAGTCCTTTCAACTTGTTAAAAACATTCACTAAACCGCTGCCAATCTGTACACTTAATCGCTGCAGCAATTTGCTAAACAAATCTAAACCGACGCTCAACTTTTATTGGACTTTCGGCTACAGTTTTAACAGCCAGCTCATAAAACAGTTAAAAGCAGGGCTTATCGGTGCACATAAACCAAGATAAACCAATAAAATATCAATGTTCTCAGATACGAAATGGCCGTGAAGCTCTTTCACTGCGTTTCTAGTCTGGAGTCTGGTGTCTGAAGTCTGAAATCTACCCCCGGAGACGCTGTCTGTAAACTTGGAAGTTTGGTCGAAAACTATTCAGTTAATCCGTTTAAATCTCATGGCATCATGTTAAATTTAATTGCAGCTATAAATTCCACTTGCCAGCACATAAACTTTCCTATCCATTCACGGACTCCCACCCAAAGTCTTGGGGAAAAATGCAATCGCCGGGCAAACAATTTTTCCCCCAAGCTCCTCTTGCATTTGACTTACAGCTTTTGCGTGAAATAAAGAAAAAAAAGAAGAACAGCCACACACATCTTAACCGCTTTTGCTTCAGTGGGTGGCTGGCTGCAGGATTAGCGGTCGCATATATCGCGAAGTGAGCAAAGAAAAATAAAATGCCAGTTGCTTAGTCGTATAAATGGCGTCAAGAAGAGCGATGGCAGTCCACGAGGAAGGATCCAACAGCTGGAGAAGGGTGCTGAACAGATGGAGAACTAACAGCATCTTCATCAGCCAGTCCATCTCTTTTGCCTCCCTGAAACTTGATTGTGCAATTGGCTATACTAGCTGATGGTTGGTTGGTTGGTTGGTGGTGGCAAGGATGTGTCAGGAGGACAGCTAAGCCCCAAAGTCTATCCCCGTCGAATGGCTAAAGTGCAGCTATTTGAAATGTTTCCCCTGATTTGAATTTAAAGCAAAATGAAGATTTGAGTGTTATTTTGAATAGATTTGCGTGGATTACCTTTGCCTGAAGGATTTGTTCGGGTAAGAAGTTTGAGTGGTGGAAAGTGGGTGTGCAATTTGCACACAAATTGTGTCTGGGGTTTGCATGACGATTTAGATAATATTTCTGGGAATTTTTTAGAAGCTTCTTTGATCTTCAGAGACTCATTTAACAATCCTCAAAACTGAATAAACTCTAAAGGTAATATTTTTGGAAACTTTTAATGTAACTAATCCCTCAAATATATAGATCTGTAAATCTTAAATTCATTCCTAAATCCCCCTGCCTTTATATTACTTTTTTTCCAATTGAAAACTTGACTAAATCCCTTGGCATATATCTTGGCAGTAAATTTACCGCATTAAGAATGCACTTTGGCTCAGTTCAGCCCAGTTAATAATTTTCCAGTTCCGTGCAATTGAAACCCACTCAGCACACTCGCCTGCTAGCGTTATCCTACTCCTCCTCCTCTGGCTGTGCCACACCATTCCTGCCACACACTCGCAGTGGCCGCAACTTAACCCCATTTAAACGGGCATGCATTAAAAAAGTCTAAAGGATGAGAGTCGGGGAGTGGGATCAGAATACAGGGGCTGAAGACTGGAGTGTATGTGCAGCAGATGGGCAGGCCATGTGGGGTTGGATATCTGCGGGAAATTCATTTGCCTGCAAAGTGGCGGCATCAATAGGGATGCTCGAGTGTATGCCTTGGGATTCGATGGAATGCGAATTGAAACTGGAACCACTCCTGTATGCTCAAGTGGTGCAAGTTTATTGCCACTCGAAATGTGTTGGACGGGCGTCTGTTCTGGCGATAATCAGCACAAAATGTGCAGCGAGCCTCAAACTCTGAAACCGAATGCAATTTTAAGCAAATGCCAAGCGATGACCACCACCTGCCCGAGACCCAGAGGGATGGCAGCGTGATCTATCGCAAAGGAATGTGAAATGCATAATCAATGCTGAAAGGTTTCATGGGAATTATGCTAATGGGAAAGGTATCGATGGAAAGATACACAAATTACTCTCAGAGGGTAGTAGAGGCGTTTTCTGAAGTACTTTAAAATATTTTAAAAATATTTTCTGATTAGTTTAGGGTACGTTAAGGTAAGTTAGGGAATTCTGTAAATAGTCTCAGTCACCTATAGTCATTAGGGGTTGTTACGCGTATTATTTTGATGAAAATGTACAACCCTTTCAATGTAGAAATGGATTATCGTCTTCACACCCAAAAGTCACGACTCTCCCTTTAGTTTTACCATCTCTAAAGCTCAAAAGTATTGGCCTTACAAGTTCAGGGAGCAAGTGGGAGCAGAACTAACTTACCTGTTTAGGCCATCGATGCATACACCAAACACGCAGGGATTGCTGAGGCAGGCAAATCCTGCGTCGCCGCCACCCACAAGCAGGCCCAGGCATAAGCCGAGAAGCAGCAGCAGCCTGGAGTGGAAGCCGCTGCCACCGCCGCACTTAGCTAATATCCTTAATGTCCAGGCAGAGTTTGGTGAAGTTGGTGCTGTTTCCGGGCAGCAGGATGCTGCTGATGCTGATGCTGCCGTTGGAGATGGAGTTGAAGTTTTTGGAATGGTTTTTATCGTTGGTTTTTCTATTGTGGTTGTTGCTGTTGCTGTGGTTCTTGTTGTTGGCATCTTTTGCAGGTGGTTTCGTTGCATATCCGTTGTTGTTTGTTGCTTCTGGGTGGTGGTGGTGGTGGTGGTGGCAGTCAGGCCCGTGGTAGTGCAACCATTTGCTGTCAACGGTGTGGCAGCTCGGTCATCATCCTCTTCCAGGGTTCTCGCCTGCTGCTGCTCATCCTCCTCTGGCTGCTGCTGCAGCAGCTGTAAGGGACGTCTTCGACCAATTTCGCGTCTCATTTGAGGCGATTCCTCCATTGTCTGTTTATCAATCTGAATCACGTTGATCATACGCCCAGTGGATTCTTGGAAAGTGCTTTTGATTGATGCTGCTGCTGCTGCTGTTGCTCCTTGAGCTGCTGCTGCCTTACAGTTGAGTGTCCTTTCGCTTGTCCTTGTTGCTGCTCGTCAATCCGCTTAAGTGCTTTATTAGTTCTCATTGTTTGCCCTCCGCAATTGTTTGTATTTCGTTGGGCATCCCACAACATCCACATCCACCTCTCTCCCTGGTTATCCTAGTGCGGCGCTCCTTGTATGCACTCTGCGTCGCCTTCGCATCCTCAGCATTCTTGTTTATGATTTTTCCACCCCTCCTCCTCCTCCTGTCTGCTCTCTCCTTTCTCTTATCTTCTCTTTGTTTTATTTGATCTATTTTTCCTCTCTTGTTGCTGCTGCTCTTCTGCTCGTTCACATTTTTACAGCCATTCCAATTTACAAACTGCAAAAAAAGGAGCATAAGAAAGAACTTTATGAATATTCAGGAAATTATTTGCTCAAACATTTAGTTAGATATTGTTCATATATTCTGATTAAGATTTTAGCTTTGCCACTTAAATGTTTAAATGGATTTGTTGCACAAGGATTTGGGGGATTGCAAAATGGTTGCAACATAGATGTAGAGGGTTAGCAGATGGCTTTCTGGCTTTATTTCATGCATTCATTTAGTTATTTATTTGATGAAAGTAATGTAAACCTCCACAACATAAGTAGGTGGAAACTTTATTGTAAGAATTTAGACATTTATTCAGCCAGAGAACTAAAATTCAGACGATTCCACTATGGTTGACTTACTCATTTACTCAAATTTACTCAATTTACTCAGAGAAATAAATTAATAAATATTTATAGAAATTTCAATCTTTATGTAGCCATCTAGTCATCTAGTCAGTGGCGCAGCCGTAGAGTAAATCCAAATCTTTGTTCTTCATTTGCGCTGCCCACTGTTATCCCCCATTCTCATATAAATATGTACATATCTACACATGCACATACATACATATATACATACTCCCGCACGGGCATCGGCCTATGCAGCCGTTATCTCGCGTCTTCATCTCGCTCCTTTCCTCCCCCATTGTTATTACTCTCTCGATCTGTCGCTCTCTCGTTTGCATTAGGGCACGGGCAATGAGGCCGCCTGAACCGTAACATGAACAGTTATCGTCTTTTTAATCTTCTTGAAAAACTACGCTACTGAAAAAGCTCAGCAACTTGTTTTTGCAATGATTCTACTGTGATTTCTTATTGATAAACTAATCGAATTATAGTAAGTGTATCTTTAAATATAAAATAGCTATTCATATTCACATTTCTATGATATATTTCTTCATGATATATGAAACGGAGCGCTAAGAACTATTTTGTATTTAGTAAAGTTACAAAAATTCCAGCCCCAAACGTTTCTATTTCAATTTCAAATAACCCACAAAAGTGCTGTTCCAAAATGTAGCTACAATAATCTCTCCAAAAAAAGAGTTATAGCTTTGACATGTCTTGAATAAACAATACCCTTGAAATTCCCTAAAGCTTTTTCCCACTTTTTCAGACAGTTCAAAATCGTTTTGTCCCTCTCCCGCTCCCCTGTGAAATGTGAATCTGCACAACTAATCCATAATGCCGCCATGTGGCTGGGCTTTCCATTTCATTTCATTTTGTTGGTTGGGCAGCCAGATGTACATCACACATGTGTCAAAATAAACCCCAGAACTTGTACACAAATCACACATACCCAGGCGAACATGTGTTGGATGGTTCGAGGTGGGTTTCAGCGGCGTTTGGGGTTTTTGGGTACTTGGCTGTTGGGCTATTAAAACGATGGACGAGAGTAGAGAAATCCCAGTCACATGTGCAGTAAGCTGCAGAAAAGTTAACAAACATTTTTGGAACTCTCTTCTTTTTTTTTTGGCTGGTACTTTTAATACAGCTCCTCTTTTTCTCTCGCTTTCTCTTTTTTGAATGTCTTTTATGTCTTTTTTGGGTTTTGTGACTAGCAAATAAATTTATATATTTTTTATGGTAGCCGCAGAAAATGCACAGACAGCTCCCGTGACAAGTTCAAAATTGAAACCAGCTACGGACTCTGCACGTCAATTAAGGAACGAAGGACCAAAGCACCGGACATGTGCCATGCCAACTGCAAAACTGCAAAAAAAGAAGAGGGATCAGAAGCAGACCCAGACAACGCCCCATAACTTGACTGCATCATCAACATAAATCCGACTTAACTCCGAGCAATGGTCAGCAGTTGTAGTTGCAGTCCACTAGTAGGATTGTTGGGAGTGTCTGTAATGTGTGGCCATATTGTTAGGAAAGGACTGAAATGGCTGCAAACGATATGGCCAACGTCAGTCATAATGTTTTGGGATTATATCTTGGTGGAGGAGGCTTTCTTTCAGCTTCCATTTTCCATCTTCAAGTGGAAATTAGTGTCGTTCATGTGAAATTGAAAGATGCAACGTTGACTGACTCTGCACTAAAACTAAAACACATCCACCGGCAACTCTGGTATCGTTGGAATAACTAGGACACAGACACACAGTAGTGTAGTCTCAATGTTGGGCAATAGATCCTGATGATGCTGATGAGGCTCTCGTTGTCCCATCAGCAAAACTGCATTGTCAAGGGGCCAAAAACAAAGGAAACAAAAACACACAACAGCCCATACCTGATATGGCTGCAGGGCTGCTGCAAAGGTAGAGCGGGGGTGTGGCCCGTGTTTGGAGGTATCATCACATGGCCGACTGACGACAGGAGCAGTGTGCGGCCTCGGTGAATGAATGAATTTAGCCTGTAAACACAGGTACACGGGGACACAGCATGAAATGCGCACGAACGGAATGGCTACTCGCTCCCTCTCTCAGAACTGGCCAAGAGCCAAGTGGAGCAGTCAGCAGGACAGCAGGGGAGGCATGAAGAGGCAATCTCGAATTGCCGGCAGAAGCCAGAAAGTTGTTCAAGTTACAGAGAGAGAGATAGGACATTGTTGAGTGTTTGGTTCTCCACCCACGATGATGATGCTGATGATGATGGTGTTGAGTGGCGCCTCGAAGGCATCCCAGCAACCATCCACCGCTGTCGTTCAGGGAAAGCCATTCAACACTGAACAAACAAAATGTTGTCCACTTTCGTGCAAGAACCCATTGGGAATTGTATGCATTACCAGCAGCAAAAATTGCACGAGGGTACTGCAACTATTGGTGTTGCACAATTCGATCTTTCAAGTAGATAAATGTTGGATAATATTTTCCAACTTTCTTTTATTTTCTTTGATTAACTCGCTCAGACATTTTCCACACTGTATCTGCTGCAATACTTTTATGGGCGTTGGGGAAAAATGTTAACTGGCAAATGTCATCAAATTGCTTGCACCTGCAGCATACATTTTTCGGTAGAAAAATTTTAACTAGCGCATAAAAGCGAAACGTTTTCATGCTCAAAAGCCATGTCAACCTGCACAGCAACAGCACAGAATCCCAAACAATCCAAGCCAGGAGCAAATCAAACCGAAGAGAACCCGAGGACATACCGGCTTCAGATGTTTCTGTTTTTATTGTTCCGGCTGCTGTTCCTGCTGCTGTTTCTGTTTCTGTTTGGTTTTTATGGCATTTGCAGAAATTGCAACTTTGTAGAAGGACCGACCAAATCGGTGTTCTTCGGTAGACAAGGTGGGACTTGAGGTGCCTGGGGATTTGTCATTAACGTTGAGCCATTGCCTACTCTGTGTCGACATAATGTTGCAGATTTTCAAACAGAAATGAAAGACGTTGTTGCCGCTGCTGCTGTCTGTGCTCCTTCATTACCATTTTCCCGTACCCAGACCCATCCCCGTTGCCGTCACGAATTTGATGACATTAATGAATGGGCCTTGTTGGGCAATGTGTAATCTGGTGGGGTAATTATAAGCAGGTTTTCTCTTCTCGATGATGATGGGCAGCCAGAGAGAGAGAAAGAATGACTGCTGATGGCGCTGTAGAAAGGACTTTCCGGCAGCTGTACAAAAAGTTTGAAAGATAAATGATTGTGATGGATTGTTGTGTGAATTACAGTGTAGTCTAGTCTACATCAGACATCGAAAAGTGGTAATTTGCCGTGCTGTTAATGATCAAAAAGGTAATCGAAAATTTTAAATAAAGGAATCAATTTTGTTGGTAATTGATAGTCAGGTGTCTATCTGATTTTTCAATCTATTGTTAAGGGAAGTACTTTGTAATTGAGGGGAAATTTATAAAGGAAATCAAATTTGATATATTTGATACATATTTGAGTTTTTCCCAAAGAATATTTCTATATTTGCAAGACTTATGTTCCTGTTTATTTGCCAGAGAAATTTCCTTGCACACATTTTAATTAAATTGTCAAGATTTGTTCTTGTCGGTTTGTTGTATTTTAAGCGAATTTATGCAAAGCGATGGCAAGTAAACAAGTGCTTCTCGTCTTAAAAAAAAGTTTACTTGAAACTGTAACAACAACTGTAAGAGAGAAGAGAGAGAGAGAGAGAGAGAGAGAGCGGAGAGAGTTAGAGTGGAATGTGGAAAAAGCTTGTTTCCTTTTCCTCACCCAGTTATTCTCTCGCTCTCTTTGACGCTCGCTCCCTTAGATTGTTAATTAATTCTGACAAATATTGTGCAAATATTTGGAAAAACTCAAAAGCCAACAACAGGCAAGTGCCATTGTCTTAGGGTGCTGCTGTTTCGGCTTGCAGTTTGACTTAAATTCTGTTTGAAAGGGAAGGAATTAGAAAATTTGGCTAAAATATTACTCGCATTACTCTTATTTAGCAAATGCATTAGTTAAATTAATAGATATCAATTTATAGGTTATTATAACAATGTAATCTTTAATCTCTTAAATAAAAACCCCCAAAAAACTTGGTGTGGTTTCGTTTGGTTAAGTTGAATTTATTGAAAGTAAAACTCTTATATGGAAACCTCTAAATTTTACTTCAAATTGAAATCTCAAAATATTACGCAACTTGGAACACATCTCTTGGAAAAATCCTCCCAAATTAATGAAGCTGGGATTATGCCAAGGAAGTCTCTAAGGATCTTTCTTATGCAAATTGTGTCTCCGCATGTGTCTGAGTGTGTGTGTTTCTGTGCTGTAGTTTGGAGCGCGTGAAAATCGATGGCCAAAAATAAACAACTGGCACTGGCACACACGCACTCAACGACAGAGGTAGTCGCCATACACACGCCCACATGTTAAAATAATTAACTTGTCTTTGGCAAGACATATGAGTAAACACATTCCACTTTCTCTCAGCCACTCTCTCTCTTTCGTTAGCACTCTCTTTGGTACTCGCTCTCTCTGACTCACTCTCCCCTTCTGTCTGTTAATAAAACACGCCATGTTTGCAGTGCACAAATACAATTACCTTTAAGTACGAGTACCCCCAATGCACTGTCGTACCGTACGGTACCCATTCCACTGGTCAAACAC